GCTCTTGAACAAGTTCAACTGGTTTACGAGAAGCCCGACCTATTTTCGGGCTTCAGCTAGGAGGGCAAAGGCTCGCATTTCCCTGCCTACAGTAGTCTCACGGAATTTCATTAATTAAGAATCTGAACTCGTGATACTTTTTCGAGGCAATCATGCCTGCGACGTCGACTTTTACCAACAGAGTACAGTTCCTGGATCCACAATTCCGATTCTTTCCCATTATCGGGGGACGAACTTGTTTCTAAGGAGCCAGTTTTTCTAATATAAATAGACGAATTATCCCGAATTGTTGCTATTCTCTATTTTTTTATCTGATCTATTTTTATCTTTTTTACTATTCCTAAGCGTAGAAACCTTACAAATTTTGGTCAAACACAGCGAAACAACAATCGATTTTGCGACCAAAATGCGGTCTGAAAGTTTGTTGTTTTCCACTTAAAATATAGCTAAATTTTGCTAAAAACCCTATGAGAACCCTTAATAGGCTTTTCTGGACCTTAGACCCCCCCGATAATGCGTAAGAGCCGTAAAAAGTGCGTTTTATTCAGTTTTGAAAAATTTGAATGACGCTAGGCATTTCGCGCATAGATTCGCCTCTCTAATATTTCAAAAATTCTGTTTTTATCTTTTAAAGTTTACGGTAGCTACGCCGAGCCGGCGATTTTTTGCTCTGTTTGCTCTGAACTGGCACCAGGAATCGCAAATTTTGTTTGTTTTTATTTATTTTGCCGTTTTGACGTTTTTTGGTTCCACAATTCCAGGATACCACAAACAACCTCTGCTAGCTTGCCTCAAGCAACATTTCCCCCTGTATTTTTCCAAGCTTTGCCTCAAGCCCCTCTTTTGATCACCGACCCCTTGAAACATTTCTCGACGATTGTTCGCTGTTTTCCTTTTTCCCTTTTTCTCATGTCAGCCCAGACTTTTGGAGAGGGCGTTCCGTGTTAACAGGGGGGGAGAGAGAGACACCCCCTAGGGGCGAGCTGGCCGAGATTATTTGCCGAACATTTTGCGGAGACCTTTTGTTGATGGTGAGAGACAGAGAGAGAGGGAGAGAGAGAGAGAGAGAGAGAGAGAGAGAGAGAGAGAGAGAGACAGAGAAAGAGGAATAAATAGATGCCCTTCGGCATGAGGAACCGGTCGTTGGAACGGAGAGAGGACCCATGAATAGCCCATCTCCAGACATCCCTGATCTTTGCCGTCATTTGGTGTAGTCTGTAGTGTGCTGGGAATTTAGTTTTTTTATGAACCTACCGTAGACTGATAGATTCCTTAGGAAAAGGCAGGCTAGCAGATATTCTTTAGGAGCGCTTGCGAACGAATGCTTTCCGCTTGTTTCCTTAACTTTTTTCGATTATTACACGACCAGGGGCGCCTTTTAGCGGGCGCGCCGCCCCGGGGCTTGTTGGTGGAGTGTTTTGTATTGGAGGTGAGAATAGAGGCTGGAGAGAGAGAGAGAGAGAGAGAGAGAGAGAGAGAGATAGAGAGAGAGAGAGAAGCGGGGCGTTTTGTGGCGGAAGGGGCGCCCTTCAAGGCGCGCCCCCTCAACACCTACACATACATCATCATCATCCGCCCGTTCCGTTCACTCCACTCAACACCTTGGCGGTGATATAAATATACTGTACTGTTACGGTAGTTACGCGATGTTCCTAGAGAATTTCTGCTAGCCTCCGCATTTCCTAAAGAATCTCTGCTAGATTATTGCAAAAAAATTGAGCTTTTTGCAACGATTACGTGAATTTTCCTCAAGGATCTGCGCTGGTTTGCCCGTTTAGATGTTGTTCCTAAGGGATCTTGCTAGCTCTCTCTCTCTGTCCCTCTCTCTGTCCCTCTCTCTGTCTCTGTCTCTCTCTGTTTCTCTCTCTATGTCGCTCTGTCTCTCTCTCTCCTCTCTCTCTGCCTCTCTCTCGCTCTCTCATTCACTCTCTCACCTTCGTCATCACTTGAAAATTGTCACGAATTGGATTAGTAATCAGCGCAAATCGAGAACAAAGTCACTGACTAATCAGCTGCAAGCCAATTTCGAGGGCTATAAAACCCTCGATTCCATACTTTCCTATTGCCGCCCCAAAATTTTCTCTATTTTGTCTATCTACCCGCCTCGATTCATCTTTTGTTTTTGATATCAAAGTGGCCGCCTCGCGCTGCTAACCGGTCCCGCTACACAATACACCAAATTACCGGAGTTGTCGATAGCTTTTGTGCGGAATTATTATGATTTTCGGTAATCTCAAGGGGTCTCAGCTAGATTGCCCTGTCCTAAAAGATCTCTGATAGTTTGCCCTCCTCATAGATCGTAAACCCTAGCGCATTTTAGGGCTAAAAATTCCGTAAAAGGTCTTTGCTAATTTGCCCTGATATCCAGCAGAAGTCGAGATTTTTCGTGTAGCAAGGATTCTCCGAGCGATCTCCGCTAGCTTGCCCTACGGCTAGATTTAGATATGCGTTTTTTGGGCTAGTGTTTCCGCAAATAGTCTCTGCTAGATTACCCTACAAACACGGCATTTTTGGCGTTTTTCTTTCCAACCAGATAGCCCAAGAATCTCCGCTAGTTGGTCCTGGTGGTAAATTCTACCGTACTCTAGGCCTTTTTGAGTTTACAAATAGACTCGGCTAGTTTGCCTTGCTGTATTTTTCCAGTTTTCTTGCGCATAATCTTCCACAAAATTCTTTGCTAGCTTGCCAAAAATTAGGAATTTGGTCCGTTTTAATAGACTCCTCAAATGACCTCTGCTAGCCTGCCCATGCCAAAGTGCTGACTCCTAAAGAATCGCTGCTAGCCTGCTCCGAATCCGAAAATCCCAGTGCCAGCGGAAATTCCGCAATTATCTCTTCTGGCTAGCCATTCGAGCTCTAAATTTTTTTTGCGATTTTTGTAGCGCAAAGAATCCCTGCTAGCCTGCCTGCCTGCCGACCAGAAAAACAGTATTTGTCGGCCTGCCCAGGCGAAGCTGTGGGAAAGCCGAAGATCGAAGGAGACCTGAGGATATGTGTCGTTCTCTCTCTCTCACTCTCTCTCTCTCTATCGCTCTCTCTCACTCTCTCTCTCTCTCTCTCTCTCTTCCTCTCTCTCTGCGTTTTGGGAGGATGAGCCGAGTGCTTATTTTTCGAAAGCGAAATCCCCTCCTCCTCTTCCTTCGTGCCTCCCTTCTACTGTCTGTCTGTCTGTCACACAGTTCGCAGAGACAGACTGTCCACACCAAAACCCCCCAGATCGTCAACTGGTTCCTCGCGTAGTCTACCATTTTGCGGGTAGCCGGTGCGCTGAATGGAGGGCCAGCCGTTTCCCTAAGAATTTCTGCTAGCCTGCCGTGCCCTAAAGAATCCATGCTAGCCTGCCCTTTCCTAAAAAATCTCTGCTAGCCTGCCCTAGCCGGATTTCCATCCTCAAGCGTCTCTGTTTGCCGCTGAATCGAGCTCCAAGGGTCTTTGCTAGTTGACCTTTAAAGGCCTGGTCTCTCTCTCTCTCTCTCTCTCTCTCTCTCTCTCTCTCGCTTCCATTCAGGACTTTTTGCCAATACAGGCTCTCCTCCCGCCATTGATCATTCTCAACCAGCGCCTCCCCGAGATTCCGCCCTTCCTCGAATCCCCCCGGGCGGCGAGATTTTTGGCGTTTTCCAGGGTTCCTGATTGGCAGCGGTATCGATTTTTATGCGGATTGAGGATATAAAGATTCTCCCCGAATTTTCAGCGATTTTAGAGAAGCTCTGACTTGTCGATCCCTTTAAAATTGAAGCTTCTGCCAATTGGCTTTCATTATCTAAACAACAAGCTTTTCCGCTCTCTCTCCCTCACCCATTCCTATGTCTCTCTCTCTCTCTCTCTAGCTGGATCTCTCCGGGTCTCTTGCTCACTCGTGCTCAAAGGATCTCTGCTATTTGCCCAGCGGGGGACGTTCTTCCTAAGGAATCTCTGCAAGGTTCGGCACGATTCTCAAAGAGTCTTTGCTAGCCTGCCCCCAAAAACTTTTGCTCTCGTCCTGCGCTCAAAGAATCACTGCTAGCTTGCCCGAGGGCTTCATTCTTAAATGATCTCTCCTAGCTGTCTATAGGTCGTGCTCAACTAGACTCTTCTAGCTCAACTGATGTCGCTCTCTCTCTCAATCTCGTGCTCTCACTCTCTCTCGCTCTCTCTCTCCCTCTCTATCTCTCCCTCTCTCTCACTCTCTCACCTGGTTGATCTGGTTGAGCCATACAATCTGTAGTAGGTGAGGGGGGAATCCCCCCTCACATGGCTGTCACAGTATCCCTTTGTACTTTTCACTCCTATCCACCCCTCCCAAAAAAGATTCCAGTTCCCGCAAAATCTCAATCTCCCTTTTTCGACTTTTTGGGACCCACGACGAGATCAGTGGCTTTTTCGAGCTCCAGAGAAGACTTTTTAGTCTGTTTTGATCGGATTTTTTAACAGCCGTACAATGATTAACAACCGTAATCGATTTTCAAAAATTTTCGAATGATTGCCAAGGCCTTGGAAAAATTCTAAAGGTGCTCGCAAGGCAAAAATCCACGGGAAATTCCCGATTTTCGAGCCTTGGAAACTGGCCTGGATGCTGTTAGAATTTAATTGTTTTTTGCCCCAAAATTTATGGCTTTTTTGCCTTCCTCGTCCCTTTAGAGTTGAAACCTATAAAATATGTTTTGTTCTAAAAACTCGCATTCCTCAAGGTTCTCTGCTGGCCTACCCCTGTTTTCGGATTCCTCAAAGAATCTCTGCCACTTGCCGGATTAAGATAATTTTTGCTATGCTTTGTTCGAGTAAAGGTTCCGGATTTTCCAGTGGTCTCTGCTAGCTTGCCCTAATTTTTGGGGGCAGGCTAGCAGAGTTTTTTGAGAAATTTTTATTCAACGGAATTTTGAGGTAGTTTAAAGTTACGGATGGTTTAAAGAACGCAAAAAAGTTTTTTTCCTTTTAGACTGTTTTTGATAGTCTCAATGTATTTTTTATTTTTTTGACTGGTATTAATAGTTTTATTATTTGAATTTCCATGATTTCAGATGATCTCAGGAGGTCCTCCATTCGGTGGAGGCCTCGGCTTCTCCCTCCCCTCCTTCATCACGTCTTCTTCACGAAAACAACGGCTTCTCCTCCTCATCTCCATTCTAGTCCTCTCCTTCAACGGGTACGCCGACGCCACCAAGTACGTTGCGTTCCTATTGACATACGATTTTTTCTGTATTCTAGGAAATTCTCGGTGCTGCGAATATCGCCGCACAGCAAGCGGGACGTCGAGTTTTTGCATGAGATTCGCGAAAAGGACCATGATGTGAGTGTTTTTAAGGGTTACGGTAGCTTTTTGTCGGTGCTGGACGCTTAGCGGGGGTGAGAATTTTAGCGTGAATTTTTTTATACGTTTTATAACTTCATAGCCATCCAAACCTTCTAAATCTCTAAAAAAAGTTTTTATGCTATACTAATAATACCGAAAACATAAAAAAATATTATGCGGAAATATAAAAGTTACCCCCCCGGTAACAGTGCAGTACCGTTTTCTCTCAAAAATTTCAAATGCTCTCTGCTAGCTTCCATCACTTTGTTCGTCGTCGAAAAATCTCTGCTAGCATCGCTTGCCCGCGCGAACTTTTGTGCATTTGACAATTTTTACGCTTTTTTTGATCGGAAATCCTGGCTGATCTCTGCTAGCTTGCCTTTTTCGTTGTGTCGAAAATCTATATATTTTGCCTTCAGGATCCTTTAAAACGCTGCAAAAATTCTCTCTCTAAAACTTAAAGAGTTAAATACTAAACTTTCCCACGGTAAACCCAAAGCCAAGACTTTTTGCGTCGTAAAACTGTTTCCGCTCTCCCCCAAGCTGACTTGGCGATTTTCATTCCGGCTCCTTCTCTCTCTCTCTCTCACTCCCTATCTCTCTCTCTCTCGCCGTTCAAGAAACTGGAATTTGATTAAAAGTGCTTGGTTGAGATGGCGAGACGAGACTCTAAAGTCTCAAGGGCAAGCTATCGTTTTGGGCTTCTACCTCGCGAAAGGTAGACGAGGCGAGAGAGATAGAGAGAGAGAGAGAGAGAGGAGAGAGAGAGAGAGAGATGGGGGGAGAAGAGGGAGAGGAGGTAAAAGCCAAGACCTCACAGCCAAAACTGGAAGGATGCCGTCTGCGCGCGCTGGCTACGCACCCATACAAATGACGGCCAGGGGGGGGGGGAGCAAAACGGGAAATTCTCGCGCGCCGGCCATCGATTGTGGTGATGGCTGCCGGGGGGCTGTGGGTTGACGCTCCGAATCACACCTCTAGACGAAGGGGGTTAGAGGAAAAAAAGGAAAAAATAGCCGGAAAAGGCTGGCCAAAAAATTGCTATAAAAAATAAAAAATCGGATAAAATTGTGAAATTCGAAAAGAACTTTTAAAAATTTAATTTTTACGCCATTTTTTCAGCTCGATTTTTGGAAGGGACCGACAGCACCGGGCAAGGAGATTCATCTGATGGTTGACGAGGACAAGGTAAGGTTTATTTTATTAAAATATTTTTTAGCTGTTTCCGCTTCTTTTGTTATTTATATCAATTATTATTATTTTAGACGGCATTCATCGAACGCGCGCTATCTCGGCGCAACATCTCCCACACGATCATGATCGCCGACGTCGAGAAGTACGGTATTTCTCAATTTCTGAATTATTGCCTTTAATTTCCATTGATTGGTGCTGGTTTTCGTATCATTTTTTTATGCTATTTTTCAACTAAATTTTGAGGATTTATATGATTTTTTCACCTTTAACATGTTTAAAATTAGTTTTAGCCGCTTCCTATTTAAGTTTATGTAATTTTCGTAGGTTTTAATTTAATACCTGATTTTTTGGCAAATGCAGTTAGCTTAAATTTAGCATTATTGAAACTGAAGTTATTCAAGGGTGCCAGTTGAGACTGAATAAGTTAAAAATGGTTTAATTTTATCTATAATTCATTGTAATTGTTTTTAGAGTGATCGTCGACCAAAAGAAGAAACGAGCCAAGATTGACAGCGAGCTGCGGTTGAGGGATTGGCGCGAGGGAAAGGTAGAGTTTGAGGTTTTTGCGTTACATCCTCTGTTTCAGATCAACTTCAACCTGGCGCAGTACCACTCTTTTGCCGACGTCATCAACTACCTGAACGCGCTAGCCGTCACGTACCCCGAGCTCGTCTCCGTCCAGCCGATCGGAACGACGCACGAGGGACGCCAGATTCCGCTCATCAAGGTCAGCGAGTTCATGCGGGAATTTGGGATTTAAAGGGAGCAGGACAGAAGGATTTGTGACAAAAATTGGATATTTCTCGCCCTAGCTCTCTCTCTCTCTCTCTCTCTCTCTCTCTCTCTCTCTCCCCCTCCCTCCCTCTCTTTCTGTAAGATATATAGAATTTTGCATTTTAATGGGGGTAAAATTATCTCTCTTTCTCTCTGTATCTCCCTGTCTCTCTCTACCCCTCCCTCTCGCTCTCTCGCGCTCTCTCTCCTGCCTCTATCTCCATTTCTTCTTGCTAAAAAAGTTTCAGAAATTTTTAGGCAGATTTGAGCTGTCCATGTCCCTTAAAACACAACCCCTTCAATTCCCACAAATTCCGCTCCATTCCAGATTACGAACAAGCGACTACCGGGCCCGAAGAAGGCCGTCTGGGTTGATGGCGGCATCCACGCACGCGAATGGGTCTCGCCGAGTACTGTACTGTACTTTATCCATACGGTAAGTCATTCTGATAATTTTTGTCTACCTGGCTTTTCCAGCTAATCACCCAATACGATAAGGACCCGAAAATCCGACAGTACGTCGACAGTTTGGATTGGTATCTCGTGCCGCTGCTCAATCCGGACGGGTCGGTTTTGAACTTTTTCTGTATCTCTAACGCGCTCTCTCTCTCTCTCGCTGTCTCTCGCTCTCTCTTGCTCTGTCTCTCTGTCTGTCTCTCTGTCTCTCGCTCTCTCTCTCACTCTCTATCTCTTTCTCTCTCGCCCTAGAAAAACATGATTTTTTTTCAGCTACGAATACTCGCGATCGAGCACGAACCCCGAAATTCGACTGTGGCGCAAGAACCGCTCCCCGGCCAAGTGTATCCAGGTGGCGTCCGGTGGGTGGAGGGAGTTGTAGTTTGTAATCGGTAGTCTGTAGCCTGTAGCTTATGGCATGTGGTTTGCTTTTTTAAATTGCCTTGATTTTTAAACTTGTAGTCTAGCTTTTTCCAATTTTTACCCTTTTTGGGTTTGTGAAATTTTCAGACGTAGTTTGTAGCCAGATATAGCCTGCAATTCGTAGTTTGTACGGTAGCCGTTGAAGCGGAAAAGTTGTTTTTAGGGTTTTGTGGTTTATCGTTTGTACTTCGTAGTTTGTAGCGTTTGTAGTTTGTAGCTTTAACTCGTTTATGTACTCTTTATTACCCCCATTATAACCCGATTTTCAGGCCCCTTCCAACCGCCGCAACAGCAGTGCTGCCAGGGCGTCGACTTGAACAGGTTCGGAATTTTTGATTTTATTCTTTTTTCTAACTTTTATTTTATTTTTATTTATATTCCATTTTTCAGAAATTTCGACTGGTTCTTCGGCCAGGTCGGTTCATCTACGGACCCCTGCTCCGAAATCTACCAGGTTTGTACTTTGGAGCCTTTTGTAGCCTGTAGTTTGTACTGTTTTGTATAGTTTTGTACTGTAGTTGTACATTTTAGACTAATGCCTTAAAAATCGTTAATGTTCAATTTCCAGGGTGCGTACGCCTTCTCGGAGCCGGAAACGCGCTCCGTCCGCGATTTCCTCGCCCAGCACCGCATTACGACGTTTATTACGCTCCACTCCTACTCACAGGTTCGCAATGTACGTACTTTTTGTACAATGTTTTTCTAGATTCTGATGTACCCGTTCGGGCACCAAGTGCGCACCTACTCGAATGATCTCAACGATTTGGTACGTATTTTTTTGGGTTACTGTAGTTTATGAAATATCGTAATTTTGGATAGTAGCGTAATTTGAATATCGTAATTCCTTGTTTTCCTGAATTACGCTACCATACAATTTTCTACGGGTACCGTAATCCGTAAAGTAGCGTAGTCCACGTAGTACCGTCGTTTGTAAGATACGGTAATCTACGAAATTCCGTGGCTTTTAAAATACGAGAATTTACGAAATACTGCCATTTGTAGATTAGCGTAACCTTATAAACTCGTTATTGTTAAAGTGGCGTAGCTATAAAATTCCGTATTTTGTAAAGTATCGTAATTTGTAAGGTGCCGTATCGTAACGTACTTTTTTTTCAGCACGCCACCGCCACGAACGCGGCGAGCGCGCTGCGGTCGCTGTACGGTACCCAGTATCGAGTGGGAACCGGGGCTGATACGCTGTGTAAGTTTCTCTGACTCTCTCTCTCTCTCTCTCTCTCTCTCTCTCTCTCTCTCTCTCTCTCTCTCTCTCTCTTTCTCTCTCTCTCTATCGCCGATTTAATCGTTATTTCTTTGCAGACCCAGCATCCGGCGGCTCTGAAGACTGGGCCAAGGGCAAGGCGCACGTAAAATTCTCATACTTGTTCGAGTTGAGGCCCGAGGAGCAGGTGTGGGATGGCTTCCTGTTGGCCGAGAATCAGGTAAGTTTTCCGGGTCTTACCTTTACTTACCTTTCCTCAGATCGTCCCCACGGCTCGTGAGACCTGGGAGGCGGTCAAGGTCATCGCCGACTCGACGCTCAGACATCAGGTATGAATTTTAAAAATTTTCCGACAGCTTGAAGGCGTTCGCAAAACTGTGAAGTACATCTACTTTTACCTAGGACTCTGCCACCCCGGCCGTCCGCCACCACCCTCAGCAAACAGTTCAGCACCGCCCCGCCGCCTTCCGCCCGGCGATCTGTGAGGTACGGGAATTCTGTTAATTGTAAAGTAGCGTACTTTTCATGTACGTAATTAGTAAAGTGGCGTAGTCCACGAAATTGGTCGGCAAAATGCCGTCAATAGGAAGGTACCGTAATCGGGGAAATTGCGTGGTTTCTGTCTTGGCGCGTGTCTTAAATATAGCGTTTCGAAAAGCCGCTCCTGGCTGCGCCGGCTTCAAGTAGTTCAGACAGGTCGGCAATGCTCAGGCGATCCTTGAACGTTTGGCAGGAAGAGGCCGAACCCCTGATAAGCGTCTCGAAACGCCGCCAACCCTGAAGCCACGTCTTCAAGCAGTTCGGCTCTAGATTTAGAAAAGCTGATAAAGCTGTCCAAGCTGGGCCGACTTCAAGCAGTTCGTCTGCGGATTTTTCAAGTCGGCAAAGCTGGCTAAGAGCTGAAAAGCTGCCTATAGCTTGGCCGACTTCAAGGAGTTCGGCGCCCGAAATTTGACTTTTTGAAGCCGCCAAAGTCGACATAGAGCTAAAAAAGCTGCAGAAGCCTTCACCGACTTGAAGGAGTTCGGCGCCTAAAATCTGAATTTGTGAAGCCGGGTTTCCCGGGCTTAATTTCGGTTTAGAAACCATTTTTTGGCACAAAATCCGCAAAAAAAAACCCTGCTAGCCTGCATGCGTTCATAGACGCCGAAAAACGCCGTAAAAATAAGTTTATTTTATTTTCCAGGACAAAGACTCGCTGTGCGCGTCGTGGGCGGCGAGCGGCGCCTGCGACACGTGGCCCATCATGAAGGAGCGCTGCCCGGCGTCGTGTCGGGCCTGTTAAAATGTCTAATTTACGTTTTAAACTCTAATCTAAAATTATAATTTTAAAATGTAACAATTAATCTATATAAGACCCCCAGTGCTCAACGCTATTTTTAGGCTTTCCCCTCCTTCCCTTCACCCGATTTCTATTTACAAAAAAAACGGGTCTGCCTTCCTGTTTTTGTAGTTTGTACTTTGCCTATTTTTGGATTTTTTAGTTTGGATTTTGTAATTTTATCGTTTCTTTTCATCGATTTTTTTTTTCGTGTTGTGATTGATTCTGTAGAGATGGGTGATGCCCAGTATTTTATTTGTCTTTTTTTCTAGAAATCTCCCTCTATTTTGACGTAGATATTGCGGATTCTGATAATTTTTATACCGCTAGAAAGCGTGGAAAATTTGCAGTTTTTAGCGATTCGATATTTTTATAGTTTTCTTGAAATTACCAGTTTTATAGCTAGTTTTTAACGCTCAAAATCCGATTTTTACATGCAGTTTTCACTGATTTAGGCGGTTTTTGCGAGAAAAATCGACCGGAAGTTGTGAAAATTGGGTTTAAAAGGGTGCTTTTCAGCGTTGCAAAATACAGCGAAACTCGGAGAATTTGAATATTTTTCTAAGAGCGCACTTTCGCACTTTTACCGTAATTCCACAAATTTCTGACATTTTTTGACGATAAAAACGACGCAATTCCTGAAAATCGAGCTCAAAAACTGTGTGCGGCCATTCTAAAGCACGCTATAAAATGTATAGCCTCGATTAACCAGTATAATTTAAATCGTAGAAAACTCGCCGTTTTCCGGGCTTTCGAATGATAGAAAAATTATTACGATCCGACGCTTCTACGTCGAGGTATAGGGTTTTTTTCCCGAATCGGTACTTTCGCATTATCGGGGGCAATTTTTGGATCCAATTTTTCAAAATATCTACTAGCGAAAGTGTTTCTAAAAATGGTTTACACTATTCCTAAAACAAATTTTTATGAAAAATACCAAAAATATAGATTTTTCGACAATATATATCCGATTTTGGCCAAAATTTCGACTTTAAACGTTTTTAAAGATTTTAGTTAGTTGTTTCCGGTTCAAATATAGCTAAATTTTGCTAAAAACTACTAGGCATTTCTAAACTTATACAAAAAATTTCGATCCCCCGGTAATGCAAAAGAGCCGCCAAATCCCCCCAAAAAATGCACGCTGACCCTCGGCTTTACAACCCATGGCAGAAAAAAAACGAGAAAAAGAACAACCAGAAAATTTTATTAGTTTTCTTGTATTAATTTTAGTTCTCCATAACTTCCAATTTTTATACTAAAAAATTAAACCTGTGACTTCCGCCCGGAGAAATTGTAGCTTTTCTCCCGATTTGGACGGTGCTTCTCGCCCCGTTTTTTTTGAGCATATCCCGAGCTGAACATTGTGATTTTTGAGCCCGTTTTACTTTGTCTTTTTTGAATAAAGCGTGAAAACTTGTATTTTATAGGTTTTTGGAAAGGTTGACACACACGGCCGCCAGGGCTTACAAATCGAGGTTTTGGCTTTACTTGGTTTTCCTGGATCTTTCGCATTATCGGGGGGACCAGCGTTTTCAAAGGCTCCAATTTTTGTAATATAAAAGCGGAAACGTTTTTTTTATTATTCGCAAACGTAAAAACTATCAATTTTTCTTGGAAATCACGAAAAAATATCTATTTTTGCACCAGAATTGGTTCTTTTTCGACCAAAATTTCAAGTAAATTAGTAAATTAGACGGTTTAAACGGTTTTTTAATATTTCTAAAGTAAAAACTTTACAAGTTTTTATTAAAAATACCAAAAATATAGATTTTTCGAGTAAAAATTGCGTTTTTTCGACAAAATTTAAATTCTTAAATTTTTCCTAGGTTTTTAGATAGCTTTCTAGTTTAAATCTAGTTACATTTTGCTAAAAACACTAATAAAATGTTTCCGATTACGTAACTAGGCATTTCTGGATTCATACGAAGAAAATTTCGACCCCCCGATAACGCAAAAGGACCACCCAATTGTAAGCTTCTGGGTGCAAGTTTCTAAGGTGTTGTTTGGAGCGTATTGTAGCTCAAAAAGCGGAGAGTTTTTTCGTTCCGGTCTCGTTTTTTTTGCGTTTCCGCTTTTACCTCTTTACGCCACAAGTAAAATCAAGTTCGCGGCTTCTCAAGCTTCTTCTCGTCCCCTCTTCTTCCGCTTAAAATTCTGAAGCCGCTTCCGCAACGCTCTGCCCTCCCACGCCTCTTTAGTGCTACCCGGCTTCACTCCCCATCGACAGCTGCCCGGTCCGGCCCAAACAGCTGTAGGCCGGCCCCCCGGTTGCCCGGGTGGTCGTCAGCAACGCGCCGCTCCTATGCACGGGCTGTCGTTGTGCCCAGATTGCACCCCTGTCCGCTAATTCTTCCGCTCGACGCGTCTCGTTGCACGCGACGAGACATCGGCTTGCGGAAACCGCCCCTAACCACGACAGCAAGAAGGTATTCCGGAAAGCCGGATGCACTATTCCTTTCTCTGCGTCTTTACCTAACAATTTGTAGCTTGGAGAAACCATTTCCGGTTTTTCCGGGGTCTTCAAGGTTATGAAATCCACCTCGTTAGCGCCAACTGATTTTGGAAAAGCCCCGGATCCCGTCATTATATAGACTTT